TATATAACACTCAAGGCCTCCTATATCTGTATTTAATGTCTATGAGATTGAACGAGGAGCAGATAATGGTTGAGATATAAAAATAGCCACAACCTTGATCTTTCAGGATAAAGACAAGTTATTAATTACTTGTGCATTAGGACTAATGACATCCTACAGATTATGGTAATTCCAATTCTGATAGAGAACAATCTACCTAAAGATTTAAACATGCTCCTAATACAGAATTTTAATTGTCAATACAATGAAGATACAATATAGAACTATACAAATAATTGCACTAAAAAATAATACCTAAGAGATATAAATAGTCATACCTGCTGGCAGTAGAGAACGAAAAGGAGAAAGATCTTAGAGATAGATATGAGTTAGATCTTGCACAATATCAATGAACAAACGTTAGATTGAAATAGAAAAGACAATTCAACCAAAAATCAGAAACAAAATATAGAGCACAGATCAAGAACTTGGAATTTGAAATAAGATAGAATCAGAAAATCAAAGAAAAATAAAAACTTAAACCCCCTACCCCAAAAAAAAAAGAAAAAGAAAAAGGAACAAACGACTTCTATTGGATGAATGCATGCTGAAAAATAGCTTCAAAAGATCAAAAATTTTGGTATATGTCTAGTAACAACTGTAAGAAAACTTCCAACACGAACTTTGGAGAAATTCATAAATGTCGATTTCGCAAGTACGAACACTCAAAAGTTATCCCAAGGTAATTTCTTCTATTAAAAATAAGTTCAACAATTTACTAATTATTACTTCAGAAACAAGGTACATAATACATGGCTAAAAAAAAAGTATTCATTAGGGTAAATGTTTTTGTACAACTTGAAGACAAATCTAGTTCGTTAGATACAACCATCATAGGAGATGCAGCAGAAGTGTTACTAAAAAGTAGTACCAATGACTTAATGAACCATCTTCAGAAGGTACAACATCATATTCAACATCCTTCGAAAATGCTTTATTTCTTAACAACAAAGATGCCACTCTATTGAAATATATTTCGTCGACCATAGGAAGGTATTAAAGAACCCAATGACGTTGTCAAATTAGGAAGTGATACAGAGCTACTCTTTTATCTCAAGGCAACAGAAAAGCGCCACGGCCCACCTGAGTACTGCTTTGAAATCATATTCATGTTCAACTCCTCCACAGCAAATCAAGTTGATTCCTCAATTGTTATAGAAGATGCAAACAGGCAAATTGAAATGGAAAAAAATTCCAACAACAAAGACGTAAAAGGCAAGAACGAGGTGTCCGGACGACCCGATGACATTTCCATTGCTGCTGAAGAAATCAATTCACTGCATGCAAAAAGGTCTCTCTTCCAACCATCAGATGTACCTATTGAAGCAGAGTCAAAAACCCACAAAAAGGACTCACACATGCTCCAAAACCGATGACCGAACCATTGGAATCACCTCAAAAGAAAAATATGAATGAATAACATCTATGACACTTTTGCAACTATTTTGTGACAGTAGACAACAATTAATGTTTTATTTTGTATTTCTGGAACGAGTAACATGATCTGTCTATATATTTGTCTATGTACAAGACTTCAGATTCCACCGAATAACAATAAATTACTACTCTTGAAATTTAAAGTTTGTTGTACACGTCTTACTTTCCTTTTTCTCATTTCCGTTGCAAATACAATGAAATATTACTATGTTAAATCATTCCATTTCAAAATTAATATCATAGCTTACATCTAATGATTCTGTTTTTAACTAATGAATTCATTTTTTCTTTAAACAGTAAACTGATATCAACATTAAAAACTAAACAATTTTCAACATTAAAAACGCTAACATAACGTTCAACAGAATCCTGCTCGTGCATTGCACGTGCAATAGACTAGTGTATATATATATATAATGTTGCAGGGAGACCAAGGGGAAATACGATCTGCTCAAATGGACAAAGGTGGGTTCAAATGCCCGCCTAAATATCTTGTTCGAACAAAGATGAAGTTCGAGAAATTCCTACCTCTTTATCTAGAAGGCGCTTTGGTGAGATCTTCATGGACAGAAACTCCAAATTCGGGGGGTACCGAAATGAACCCTCCCTCCCCCAAAAAAAATTTCTTGGCCATATTCTAGGAGCCCAAATTATGTGATTGAATAAATCCTCCTGTATTTGTTGCGGGTCAAAGGCTCCTTCTCCCTCCCCAATTTGAGTTTTAAAACTTAAGGGGTACATTCAATGTAATCTACGGATAAAAGAATACATGGAGTTGAACATAGTAAAATAAGAAATTGGGCGGAGAAGGCCTTTCCGTATCAGGCACTAATATATTTTTAACATCTAATTAGATTGAGAAATTATTCAAACTTTTAATTCGAGAATAAAAATGATCTACTACAGTAAGCAAACTACAGAAAGGTCGAGGAACAAACATTATTAGATTCAATTTTGCTCGATCTTGGAGCTAGTCTCTCATTCAAATGAAACTCAATTTCAAATTCTTATGGATCATTATTTATATCACCCCTCACAATCGAGCGACCCTAGTGAAGTGCAAAAATTAAAGTGTACTTCTATAAAATTATGTAACTCAAAAATTTTATTAGAACTAATAAATTAAGACCAAATGCATGCAAGTATATCAATTTTATTAAGCTCTCGTTTGAGCCTTTTTTTGTAAAATTCATTTTTTTTCAAATTAATTTTTAACCACATGTTTAATGATATGTACAACTTTTTTCAACAAACACATTTTATCAAATCAAAATTTATTAAAAATTTAATTTTTATCTTAAACAAATAAGGGTTAAAATTGTATCTATGGGTCATATTTGGAGGCGATCACATTAAATCTCAACCGTCCAAATTTTCTTACCTGACCCAGCGAATGAACCTATACATCCCCACGCCACACCGACCCCTCAATTTCTCGCAGACACGATTTGCGAAGCTCCCTGCTATCTTCATCCTGCCGATATATACATACACAAAATTGTGTGTGTATTTATTGTTTTACCTGTAGTCAGATCGGTTGATTAACGTCGATCTGTATTTTTTTCCTTATTTTTTGTTGATACATTAAATAATTTGTTGATTGAGTGTGTGGTTTTGATTATTTGAAGAAGAAAAAAGGAGAAGCAAAGATGTTCGGCAGAGCACCAAAGAAGAGTAATAACACCAAGTATTACGAGCTCCTGGGAGTTTCCAAGAATGCTTCACAGGACGATCTCAAGAAGGCTTACCGTAAATCCGCCATCAAGAACCACCCCGATAAAGGCGGCGACCCCGAAAAGGTATTCTTTCAGAACTCGGTATGGTTGACTGGTGAATTCAGTTTTTTTGTTTTGTTTATTGTTATGATTATATATCTGTAGATATTGGGTCTTTATTGTCTTAGGGATTATTTTAATTTGTACAGATCAGCTACTCTTGGAACTGCTGATCTATATTCTGTTTTTCACTTTCTTTTTTAAAATCTGAATTTAGCTTTAGTTAGCTGCTTTGTAGAGCATGGATTTGTATATATGTAGTTGAATTATTATTTGGCAAGTGCAAAGAATAATTGTCGATTAGAATGCCTGAAAGTTTGGAGGTTCATACTTTGCTCTGAAGACATAGAATTCTTTATGGTTAAATACTGCTGTATTGTTTCTTGTGGACTTCTGAGCTATTTGTTTGCAAGCAGGGTGATGTGTATCAAGAAATGATTTTTCATACTTATTTAGAAGTTTTGCAACTTCTTTTGTCAACTATATTTTTGTGCAGCACAATTGATAGGGACAAGTTTCAGGTTTGCAATCACAGCTTTGTGTTACTTCTCTAATATCTGCTACTGTTTTCTTCTTGTTGCATCTTAGTAAAATATTTATTTTACTTGTTTAGTTGTTCTATATGTTAGACTCCTGTTCCATGCTTAAGTAGAGGCCTGTTTTAACTAATGTTGCAGTTCAAAGAGATTGCCCAAGCATATGAAGTCTTGAGTGACCCGGAGAAGCGTGAAATCTATGATCAATACGGTGAGGATGCTCTCAAGGAAGGAATGGGAAGTGGAGGTGGCGGTGGCCACAACCCGTTTGACATCTTTGAATCTCTTTTTGGCGGTAGTCCTTTCGGTGGTAAGTGATTTTAACAATCCCTGGGGGTGTTTGCCTTCCTTGGACAGTAGAAGCTTATTATATGAGTGACTCTTTATGTCCCCAGGTGCTGGCGGAAGCAGCAGAGGCCGAAGGCAAAGAAGGGGAGAAGATGTTATTCAACCTCTCAAGGTTTCACTTGAGGATCTCTATAATGGTGCATCGAAGAAACTTTCCCTTTCTCGTAATGTGCTCTGCTCCAAGTGCAAGGGGTGAGCTTTTGTGCATTTTACTGCTTATATTATTGTGACGATTGCTTAATTATTTTTTTAAATCAGTCAAGCTGCTGATCAATGGTGTGCAGGAAAGGTTCTAAATCAGGTGCTTCAATGAAGTGCCGTGGCTGTCAAGGGTCTGGGATGAAAGTTTCCGTCCGACATCTTGGCCCATCTATGATCCAGCAGATGCAGCATCCTTGCAATGAATGTAAGGGTACAGGTGAAACCATTAGTGACAGAGACCGCTGCCCACAGTGCAAGGGTGAGAAGGTTGTGCAGGAGAAGAAGGTTTTGGAGGTCCATGTGGAGAAAGGCATGCAAAATGGACAAAGGGTCACTTTTCCTGGCGAGGCTGATGAAGCAGTAATTGAGAATTAATATGCTTTATCATTATTTGAGTAAAGAAGTTTCTTTTTAGGATTGATTTTTAACTGAATTTTGAATTTTGCAGCCGGACACGGTTACAGGTGACATTGTGTTTGTCGTACAACAGAAGGAGCACCCCAAGTTTAAGAGGAAGGGTGATGATCTATTTGTTGAACACACCTTGACCCTGACCGAAGCACTATGTGGCTTCCAATTTATCTTGACTCATCTAGACAGTAGGCAGCTCCTCATTAAATCCCAGCCTGGAGAAGTTGTCAAACCTGGTGAGTTTATTCACAAGCGATTAACTATCGAGAAAATCTTGGGGAATTCGAAGAGTCGCAACATGTATAAACTTGGTGATTTTTGTATATTTGGTATAATCTAGTACATCAATTTGCTGACCTTATGGCGAAAATTAATTTTGGTTTGTCTATTTCTATTTTTTCTCTCATTTTCTTGACCTCTGTATGTTTATTTGCTTATTTGTGACTTTGATTTGCTTGCTGTTCTGCTTTTTGTTTTACAAATAACAGCTCCCTCTACAAGCTTAGCCAGATTCACTGATTCTTGAATCTTGAGTTTCTGCCACTGAGAATTTCTTACTCTTTTTCATACATTCAAACACTAATATTTGTTCACGGGATCACAGATCAATTCAAGGCCATTAATGACGAAGGAATGCCCATGTACCAGAGGCCATTCATGAAAGGGAAATTATACGTTCATTTCACTGTGGATTTCCCTGAATTCCTGCACCCAGAGCAATGCAAAGCTATCGAAACAGTGCTCCCTGCAAGGGCCGCAACCCAAATTAGAGACATGGAATTGGATGAATGTGAGGAGACTACTTTACATGACGTTAACATTGAAGAAGAGATGCGTAGGAAGCAGCAAGCTGCCCAAGAGGCATACGAGGAAGACGACGATGATATGCATGGTGGCGCTCAGAGGGTTCAGTGTGCCCAGCAGTGATGTAATATTGATGTGATCCATGCTTTTTCCAAGTTAGGGGAGGCTAATATTTGCTGCAATACTGGTATTCGATTATAGTATTATGATTTATACTGTTAATGTTCTGAAAATTTTATTTGACATGCTTTGTTATTGTATAATAGAGAACACAGATATTTTAAGTATACTTGAAAAAATACAAGTCACAACTTGCAATATTTTATATGATATATAGCTTTGGTGTGGGATTTTAAGAATGGTTAATCGTTCGAGTAATGTTATGTGTACACAATGATGTACACGGCATTTCCCTAGTTGTTATGTAGTTCTGAAATTCAGATCTCACTGTCAACACCTGCTTCGGAGTTCAGAGAATTACTGCGTGCACGGTTGGATTTTGGGGTATCCCTAAGTTTTGTTAGGGATAAGTCGAGATAGAATTAGTACATTTTCTCTAATTTGTTCACCATACTTTGTTTTGCTACATGTCTCTATGTGCCGAAGAAATGTTACATTATTGTACACATTTATGTTCAAGCAGAGAACCATTTGTAGATGAAAACTACTTTTTAGGCTAAAACGTAGGGGATGGTACGATTCGACAAAGAGAATCAAATTGAACCAATGATTAATGGCTATATTGTAATGAAACTGTTGGGTCTAACTTTAGTTATGGAATCAAGCTGTTTGGTTTTCTTGCATATAATTATTTCACTTTTCGCATAATTCCCAGACTATTTCAAAATAATGCATCCTAACAAAAGAGAGACGAATTTTCTTTCAGAAAATAATAATAAAATCCAAATTTGGTAGTTCCGATTATTATATTAAAAAAAGAAAAAGAAAAAGAAAAAGAAAAAGAAAAAGAAAAAGAAAAAGAAAAATGAAATAGGGAAGGTTTGGTTTTATATTTCTAGTCTAGAATTGAAAATTTATGATTAAGTTAAACAATTTGAGACATATCAGGTAGCTGTTCGCACGCTTACCATTTATTTTATGAAAAAACTGCTGAAAAGTAAGCCATAAAAATGGTTTTAAAAGAAAAAAAGAAAAAAGGTCATTTACCTTAAAGAAAAATGTCTCCATCCACTGATTAACCTCCAGCCCACCTCTGATCCAACCCGTAAACATCCGGACCAATGTCTAAGATTTCTTGGGATTGATTTAAAAGGCTTGGTCAAACTAAATAATAATCCAAGAAGACCAAAAACTAAGGTTTTTAGTTAAAAGGCCTAAAGTTATTAAATATGAAAAATAGAATTTGTAAAAAACTAAAATATCCTTGTATGTAAAATGATGTTATTGCCCTAATTTTCATTTCAATTTCCTTTCAACCCTAATCTCCTTCCCTCCTCTATGAACGACTCGACTACCGTACGTGTTTCCATGCTGATTTTCTTATCATCTTCTTCTCTACTTAATGAAATAACAAAATCTATATTCTCATTCCCTTGAACATTCATTTAGTTGAAGTGAATAATAAAGTCTTGCTATATTCTTATTGGGCATTTGGAGAAGAAAGAGGGTATGACAAATTTTCAATATTTGAGCCACTTTCTTTTTTCATTGTTTTGAATCATCTATTCATGTTGTTGTATATGTGTTTGTGGTGTTCATTTGTCAATAATGATTTTGAATTCATTTTATGATTAGATTGGAGCTTTAAATGGGTTACTTCCCAATCTTATTCTCATTACCCCTTATTCGTATTTCTTAGCATTAATTGAAGTGAAATGTGAAGTGGTAAAGGATGATTGTCTATTCTTCTCATTGTTTTCATGTGAAACATACATTTGATTTTTTTCAGTACAGAACGACTTACATATCGTTTTATGAAATCGGGAACGACATAGATATCGTTATCGTTATCAATACTGTATGATGTGTGAAATTTGATGAATTTCATATGTTGAATTACAGGTTATGGGCACCATGGACATTGTATGGATATCGGTTTGTTATCCAATTGAATATGAGCAGACAGTTGAAGGGTTTCTAATTTTAGAAAGGAGATTTTTTCTTTATCAACTGACTTATTTCATATCATGGTTCAGGATTGAGTAAGGGGTAGTACCGATTCTTGTTCCTTCCTTCCCCATACTCTATAGGTGCATGGAAATGGAATTATTCTGGGAACGGTAAAGGGAAAACAATGCCTATTCTTGTTGCAAAAATAATTTCTTACATGGAATTATATGATAAAGTTAAAGAGGCATTGAATATCGATACAAGTTTATACAAAATGGAGATTTCAGCTCGTCCCGTTATGTCCAAAGCTTCAACTGCACCAATCATAATTGATTGTGACAACAACGTGAAGTGATTTATATCTGTCTGTACGGAAACTTTCCTTTGTGTAAGTCTTTTAAATGAAGTTGTTGAGAATCGAGAAGATTTTGGTGATGAATTATGTTTATTAGTAATAGATGGTGGTGATGAATGATGTTTATTAGTAATAGATGGTGGAGAACAAATTGAAAAAATGAACAACAAGGAGGAACATGATCGAACAGACAACGATGGTAATTATGACAATGGTGATGGAATATTTGTAGATTATACTGATTTTGACGTAAGTGAAGATAGTCCCCGAAGAGTAGATGACAAAGTTAATTCTCCTGTAGCAGACGACAATAATTTTGAGTGATACACGCATGAACACTATGGTAGGAATATAGTGAATGGTAATGATGTTGAATATACTCAGATTGTATCTACAAGTGTAAGTTCGCTTTGTTACAAGACATCAGTAAAAATTTCGGAACTATTAGATTTGCGAGTCAACCAGTTGTTTCCATCGAAATATGACCTAATATCAAAATTGCAGTTGCTAGCTGTGAAGTGCCACTTTGAGTATAAAGTTAAGAAGTCAAATAAGAGCACTTATACAATTGTTTGTATTGATGAAAATTGCAAGTGGCGTTTACGAGCAACTAAGATCGTAGAAAGTCCAATTTTCAAAGTTCGAATGTACAATGGTTATCATTTTTTCTCCATGAGCGTTTGTCACTAAGATCATAGGCATGCTTCATCTATGATTATTGGAAACCACATCGCTCTTAAGTATGAAGATGTCAACCGAGTTTACGGACTAAGGGACATTATTAATGACATTCATCGAGAGTTTGGCATAACCGTAAGCTATACTAAAGCGTACATGGCTAAGAATTTTGCTTGTGACTGATTCGTGGGAAATCCCGTGAAAGTTATGTGAAATTACTAGCATATTGTCATGTTTTGGAGATGAAAATCCTAGTACACTGACATTCATTCGTACTAAGGATGATCGACGCTTCAAGTACCTTTTTATGGCATTGGGACTAAGTATACATAGATTCCTCAACTCAATGTGAAAGGTAATTTCTGTAGATGGTGCATTCTTGACATCGAGAATGAAAGGTACTCTACTCATAGCAACTTCTTAGGATGCAAATTTTCAAATATTTCCATTCGCATAAGGAGTAGTTGATTCGGAGATTGATGAATCCTGGACTTGGTTCTTTCAGAAGTTGCGGTTAATAACAGGTGATACGGATGACCTTGTGATTATATCTGATCGTGCAATATGTATCAAAAATGGAGTTAGAAATATGTTTCGATTTGCTCATCATAGTAATTGTAAATATCACTTGCAAAAGATCTTGAAGACAAATTTTCCACGGTGTGATGTTGCAACTTTGTTTAGGGCAGTATCAGAGGATTATACTATAATCGAATTTGAGTCCTACATGGTAGCTCTATGCAGTAAAAAAGAGAACATCAAAGAGTACCTATTGAAAGAAGATTTTCATTATTGGACTAGAATGCATTTTACTGGGATACATTACAATATCACGACTACGAATAATGCAGAATCTATAAATGATTTGTTGAAGAGTGCTCGAGAACTTCCCATAATCAGTTTAATTGAATGTATTCGTGGGCTACTACAAATGTAGTTTTATGAAAGACATGTTGAAGTAGAAAAATGTGTAACCCAACTCATGCCAGCATTAGAGAAAAAGATGTGCATGATATATAATGAATCAAATGGGTTGGAGGTAAATCAGGTTTCTCTGGACATTTATCAAGTCGGTGACAATTTAGACCACCACTTTGTGGATTTGTACGAAATGACATGCACGTGTAGCAGATTTGATTTGGACAAGTTCCCATGTGCGCATGCAATTGCTGTCGCAAGGTTTAAAGGAGACGAAGGCTATAAATTATGTACCCCCAGTTACACTAGTATTCGTTGGAAGCAAGCTTATTCTACATTCGTATATTCTTTGCCGAACGAGGTCAAATGAAAAATTCCTAAGAATGTGATAGCCAGAGAAGTATTTCCACCATTAACACAAAAACAGGGTGGGCAACCGTCAAAAAAGAGAAAAAGGTCGGCCGAATAGATGCGTGCGGCTTGTAAATGCAGAAGGTGCAAGAAAACTGGTCATGTTCGATCCACTTACACGGGCCAAGCAGCTAGTAGTGAACCTTAAGGTTGTAACACTATCGTGTCTTGTAACTTTACAACTTCGTACTTATTATTTCAACTGAATGAAATGACTTATTAGATTTTGTAGTCATTACGTTATTAAAATATTTTTGTACCGTTGGAATCAAATTAAAGTACTTTAGGTATTCATGTTCCGTTTTCCCACAGTAAAGGCAAACTAGGTTCATGTCGTTACAGTAGACATGAACGTCGTTCTAGTTCGAAAATTACACAGATTAACATAACGAGTTATAACTCGTTCCTGAGACACAAAACGACATTCATATCATTTCAATGTTAAATACACACTGCTTCTACCATTTGTGTAACGACATAGAACTCGTTATGACCACACATAATGACTTCGAAGTCGTCTCAGTTGAAATTGATATGAAAACGAGTTCGAACTCGTTCCTAAGATACAAAACGACATGCATATCGTTTTAATGTTAAATAAATATTGCATCTCTGAATTGCGTAACGACGTAGAACTCGTTATGGAGACACATAACGACTTAAAAGTCGTTTCAGTTAAAATTGATGCTAAAACAATTTAGAACTCGTTTCTGAGACAAAACGACATGCATATCGTTTCAATGTTAAATACACACTGCTTTTCTGATTTGTGTGACGACGTAGAACTCGTTATGACTATACATAACGACTTCGAAATCATTTCATTTAAAATTGATACTAAAACGATATTGAACCCGTTCTTGAGACACAAAATGATGTTTACATCGT